TGGAGACAATTATCATTACCTAAAAGAAATCGCCATTTTCCTTTAGGGAAGTCCTTCAAGATTAATCCACTAGTTTAAGATCAGTGCCAGTAATCCAGTATGCTTTAACATTAAAATATTCCCAGACAGACTTAAGTGGAATATCAGAATCACATTCACTCTAAGTGGAACAGAGCGTCCAGAAGCTTAATGTAAAAATAAATGTCCCATTTTAAATCCCATTTTCTTGATTTAAAGGTCTATAAAATCCATGGTTTTGCATTAGATCCACCATATTTTGTCCAGTGTCTCCACCTCCACTTAGTGACCACAGGGGTCTGTGGTCACCATGGGGGTCAGGTGTCACAGGTCAGCAAGGAGACACATTTTTTAAACGTGAGCAGTGTCGTTCCACCCACCACACATGCTCCGCATGCTAGCCTCTCTCCTGTCACGCATTTAGATTAATTACACATCCCAAGTTCAGCACCGGTAAAGAATAATGATGACCCTATCTTCTTGACTATCATCAATGTGTACTATAGATAACTGGAATTTTTGAATGCCTCACTTCTGTTTTATATCTTAAGTTTCACATTTTTTTACATGATCATTTTCATGATATCACAAAAATGTACTATTTGATCAGAGTCAAGTAACTTTTCAAAATTTCTTAATCAACATTTCTTAATATAAATAAAAAACATTTTGGGAAAAATTATTAATTGATTCCAACTGAATTTTCTAAGTAAATACCATATAGCCAGCACCAGAGAGGCTGACTTGTCCAGCAATGAAAAATCCAAAGCTTTCACTGAAATCTTAACCCTCAAGTGACCGAGTGGGGTCATTTACGACCCCAGCCACATGATTAAATGTGCCATCTCTTTATTTTTTATTCGAATTTTCTTTCCTTGCATGAATTTGTCAGTCTACTAATCCTACACACTTGCACAGCTTTTTGAAGGGATCAACCAATTAGTGTGGCGTTTACATCACAAACTCTTGTGGGGTCATTTATGACCCCAAAGAGAAGCACTGGTTTTCAAATATTAGTTTTTAAATTTTATTCAAATGTTTTGCCCACGCAACACTGACAGGAAAATGTCACAAGCATGTGCTTCATGCAACCAACCAGTGTGCCCAAAACATAGACACAAATAAGTGGTTTGTGAAGATTATATGCTTGAAGTGTTACTAATAGTGCATCGCTGAATCTAATTTCAGTAGCTTTGTTGGAACTTGTTCTCATAACTGGGTCTCTCATTTTGACGGTTACATTTTTCGGGTATTTCGGAAATCTAAAAAATTCTGTCGATATCATATTATACATATATTAACAATTTGTTTGTGTAAATTTTGTTTTATACACACATGTGGTAGTAACATACATGTAGATTGATTGTGTTCTGAGTAGTATGACTTCCTTACCAGCATTAGGGTATTCCTACTCAGCAAGTCAGCTAATTATTCTTATTGAAGTTAGCAGGATGCTATCTCAACATAAGTCAAAATATTTTTATTCAAAGTAATTTTGTAATGTACTTTTTTCATTTAGTGTGGCAAATAAAAAGAGAAATATTTCTGCAAGTGGAAACTGACAAGGACTGTCTAAATACCGATGTAATGTTGCTCTTAAAATCTGTGCTTGGTTATTTCATGCAATAAAAGTATTATTACCAAATACTTATTACATTAGATCATTATAAAATACTTGTCTTAAATCCTGGGAGTAGCATAGGTGTGATAAACCCTAAACAGCCTTTTATAATAAGGATCCCTGTACAGAGCACAATGGGGTCATAGATGACCCCACTTGGTCATTTCAGTCAGTAAAATAGCTCGGTCTCTTGAGGGTTAAACCATCCTTGCTATTACACAATCCAAGTGTTGGGAAAAAAAAACAAGTCAGCTGACAACAACATCTCCCTGATCAGAATCTTAAAAAGAAAAATAATCATTGTTGCCTGGATCCTGTGCTCTAGTCTGAGTCAGTCAGGTTAAACTAATGCACACCTTATAGTTTCACCTCTCTGATCTAGAGACAAGATTTCTGATCCAAGGTTCATGTGAGTGCAAAAGTTTCCCAGCTGATACAGTGAAATCCCTACAAGAGCTGTCTCCTTGGCTTTATTTTTCAAGGCACAAGGTCCATCCAGTGACTTGAACACAATAATATATCTCTTACTATGTGAAAATCATGGGTCTCTCTAATTAAAATCAGTGTCAAAATTTCTAATTCAAGGTCCACATTGAGTGTAAATTTTTTCCAGAAGTGAAATGTATGTCTCCAAGACGGAATACATAGTTCAAGGCTATATGTCCATCCTCATTATTGAGTCTTGAGCTCTTATGCATGGATGTGAAAATACCTTTATAACAACAGAGTACTAGAATCTGATCCTAAATCTGATCCTAAACCAAAATACCAGAATAATGAAGTGATGTTGAAACTCTTCATAAATATAAGTTGCCATCTCTAAGATACAGATACTTCATCCACGGTACACAAAAGAGATCCTCTTACTGCATGACAATATTTATAAAAAAACCAGTTATCACCTAATACCACATTACGTAATATATCCAACTCCTCAACAAACGTGAAAATTATCAAGTAAAGACAAAACACTTCATGGAAGTCTATGTGATAATCCCTGTTCAGAAAGCAAAGCACAGTTTACTGAAAAATTGCGTCAATGCATGTCCTTGGAATACGTAATAAGGATGTTTTACAAAATAAATACCCTCACTGACGGCTGCTACTACAAAATATTTATGTCTCCCGTGAGGTTTTTACTTAAAACACTAGTGGGATAGAAAAAACTGGTAAAGCTGGTTACCAAACTATTTTTAAAGAAAAAAAACTGACACTTAGTAAAAGCATGTGGTATTCCAGTGGCATTTGCTTCTTTTCTAAAGTAATTCAGTGCCTTTAAGGCAGAATATGACAACTGCAAGTCCAACTGAATCTCTTCATTTTTGCGCATAATTATCCAATCCTTAACATTCCTCAATTTAGTACAGGAAGTTGAAGAAAAAATTTTTTGGGACTTAAGTTGGAGAAAAACCAAAACTCTTGAGAAAAAAACTTCCCTCAAGCTGTCAAATTTTTGGATTTAGACCGAACAAAGTTCATGTCATACCAAGCAAAAAACTTTCCACAATTTAACCTTCTTCAAGGCTTTACCTACTAGCCATTAACTTTAGTTATAAAGTTAAATTTTTCATGTCAAGAAATGACAGGTCCACCCTTGTCCTGTAGCATGTTTTGTTGGCTGACTAAATCTCAAAATGAATCAGGGAAAAAAACACCCTCTCCTCACGCCCACTGCCTGATAACACACAGGTGGATGTCATCTGGAAATATTTGGTGTAGAAAAAAAAAAAAAAAAAGAGCTGGACATTTTCACCCTGAGAGTCCGGCTAAGTAGACAAGACCCTACCTCTTTCCTGGATGTAGACAGGGATGAGGCTGCCATTTAGTGAAAATGTCAGGAAATATGGAGTGAGGTACAGGGCCGGCCCAGGTCGATGAAAATTTTGGCTTTAAAAAAGTCAGAAATCTTGCAGATAGTCAGAAAAAACTCTTCCCTAAGGAATTTCAGACAAAAAGTTGGTCTTAATTTTAAGATTTATAATAAACCTTTAGGATACTTGAAATGAAAAGTCTTTTTAATGAAAAGAAAGAAAGAATTTGCTAAAGTTTTAGAAAATTTAGACTAATGATTAAATTTAATTTATTTTAAATGGCAAAAAACTACAGATTTACAGAAAAAGACTTAAGTTTTCAGTCTCAAATTTAAACCAAACATTTTGCTATTTAGTCAAACTAGCCCACATGTTGACTTATTATTGAGAAAAGTCAGAAGAAGCCTTAGGAAACTCAGGGTGATATGTCAGGCTCAGTGAGCATGGAATGTGTGAAGGGCTATCTCTGGTTTGACAGTCCACTGCTGGGGAAAACAACTGCAGATCAAATTTCTTTTAAATGTCACTTCACAATGCAGGTGCCTCTCCACAGTACGGGACTAGCTGAGAGCAAACTGTAATTGAGATATTCCAAACATTTTTGCAGAACTGCCAGCTTTTATTATTTTTTTCCTATTTCAAGCATGAAATCAAAGGTGCAATTTTTTTTACTGTAACTCCACAAAAAACTGGTGTTTTTTCATATAATTAAAAACAAAACTTATTGAGGATAAAATGTTGTTAAAAATAAAGAAATTTGTAATGCAAATACTGGATTTTGTCTTTTTTTACAGTAAATACTGGTAAGCATTCCTAAAAGTACTAGTAAGTTACTATCAAGAATAATGTATGATTTAAATTCCAAGATAAACTATGAAACCCACTGTGGCACCTGATTGTTCTGGCTCACTGTTTAACTGGTCAGTGTGTCCTCACCATCTTCTAGTAAATAATCATGAGTTGATACTTTATTGTTATTTCTTTAATATGAGTAAATCTATTTAGCCTGAAATAATGTTTAAATCATCTAAGTCCCTTCACATTTCATTCAAAAATTTTAGCATAATTTTTGGTAAAAGTGAAAAGTTTTGTATTAACCATTTTTGTTTCTAGAATCCACTTGCCAAGCATCCCACAAGATATAACCCAAGCCACCATGATTCTCATTTCTGCCACCAGATGTCACACTCTACCATCCTCTATCAAGACAGACAATCTCATCTAAACACATTTCCCACCAGAGGTAGCCCTCTTCAAATCTTTATCAAGACAATCTCATCTCAGGTTTCCATTCAAAATAAAATGTCACATGAAGAAATTTGACATTCTTTTAAAAGAATAACAGTCACTTTGACAGTAGTTCCAATACAAACATAAAGGCATATCAAATTTAAATAAACAATTCTGATGACGAAAATCTTTATTATTTATACCACTATCATCATTATCATTATCACTAAAAATGTCATCTAAAAATTTACCGTAGTCTGTGCCTCAAAACATCTCAAAATAATTTCAACAAAATCCGAAATCAAGCACATTCAACTTACTTGTGCTTCTTCTGTTGTCTCTTTCTTTGGTCCCTCCTGAGCTTTCTCCACCACCTCCACTGACCTCTCAGGACTGTTACGATATCCCTCCTGGAAACCTGCACGCCTGCCCTCTACAGGCACATCTGGGCTTTGGCGATAAACATCCTCCGAGCCTCTCCTTGGAGCTTCCATCCCTCTATCAGGGCTCCGACGATATGGATCATTGTAGAGTCTTTTCGGCACTTGTCCGCCCCCATCCTGCTCTTCAAACCCTCGCCTCTGAGGACTTTGTTGATACTGGTTGTCTTGGTAACTGCCTCTCCTGGTCTGATCAGGGAGCGGCAGTTCAGCTGGACTGTGTCTGTACACCTCCTGGAAGTCATTCCTTGGCATCTGTCCGTAGGATTCCTGGAATCCCCCACTGCTGTTGCTGCCCCTCCTGTAGGGATCCTGGAACCCATTTCCTGGACTCTGTCGGTAGTCATCTTGGTAGGCTGCACTCCTGGGACTTTCTTTGTACTGGTCCTGGTACCCACGAGTCCCAGGTTCCTTGAAATCATCTCTGGGACTGTGACGGTAGGGTTCCTGGTAACCACCCCCACTGCTCCCCCTCCTGTACGGATCCTGATACCCACTTCCTGGAACATCTCGGTAGTCGTCCTGATACCCTCTATCCATGGGTCTCTGGTTGTAGGGGGTGGGGTACACATTACTGAGAGGCTCTTGGTACTGGTTCCTGTACCCCCCTCCACTGCTGACAGGGAGATCTGGACTCTGTGTATGGGGGTAGGTCACCGAGGACTCAGCATACATCCCTCTAGTAGGGTCTACACCGGGTGACATATAGGAATCATAAGCTGGAGGAATCAAGGGGGAGTATGGTGTCCCTGGGGCCCCGGGGGTGGTAGGGGTGGTGGGTGAGGCAGCCCCTCCATAGGGGTATGTTGATGATGATGGTGTTGACCCTGTGTGTGTAGGAGTGGACAACTGACCAGCAGCTGACCCTCCTTCCCTGTATTTCTTCTTTAAGACCAGAACTTTCTCTCCATTCTGAAACACAGGAATGTGTCAAGATAATGATGATACTGATGATAAGTAAATAATAATGCTAATTATTATTATTATTATTTTTTTTTTTTTTTTATTAACACTTTTATCATTCAAACAACAATAACATTATAGATACCTAATTTATCAAATTTTGATAGTACGAGGTGTTCAGTATCTTTAACAACAAATACTGTATTTAGCACCTTAATCTTAGTTTAATTTTGTCAAATGATTCTATCAACAAATATCCAGACATGATAACAGGGTCAAATATAATATTAGCACATCTGCTAAGTTTCATCATTTGAAATACATTCCCTGCTACTATAATAAAACATACAGGATGTGCAAGTGTCATTATATGACTCATGCCACGTGCATGTTAACACTATCATGTTAGCACTGTGACAAGTTGATACTGCTAAATGATTCCCTTCCGGTCCCTCATTATTCTGTAACAATAGCTTTTATTTAACTTTTTTATTACTTTTTTTTTTCATGGTGGGGGTGGTATATGCATAACATTCTGAGATGAGAAAAAGAAAACCACCAAATATTAACAGGAACTACACACTTTTACACTCAATAATCTGATCTGAAATATGTAATGGCTTGTTGATTTGAATAATAAGGAGAAGTCTTATCAATTAATTAGTCTACCAGGGCCAGTGACATAGGAAAACGTATTTCTGAGCAATGTTTTAACTTTTTTCACTAAATTATCTATAGCTCTCTCCTTTTAGGTTTCAGACTGAAAGTCTTGATGTACTTTGACACTAGTAGTTGAATCAAATTAAATTCAGAAAATACGGCACCTGTTTCACAAAAATGCTACATATGGCTGGCATTTTGAGGCAACAGTTGCTAGAAAAAAGTGATGTACCTGGATCATAGCTGATCCAAATAATTCGGTCCATGAAGATTTCTCAAGCAAGAATATTCTGATGCATTTTATCCTAATCATGCACTTGCACCCTTTATCCAGAAGCTTTCTAAGTCCCTTAGACCCTTAAATAATTCAACTAAAGTATCATCCTGCAACACTCTAATNATCAGGGAGCGGCAGTTCAGCTGGACTGTGTCTGTACACCTCCTGGAAGTCATTCCTTGGCATCTGTCCGTAGGATTCCTGGAATCCCCCACTGCTGTTGCTGCCCCTCCTGTAGGGATCCTGGAACCCATTTCCTGGACTCTGTCGGTAGTCATCTTGGTAGGCTGCACTCCTGGGACTTTCTTTGTACTGGTCCTGGTACCCACGAGTCCCAGGTTCCTTGAAATCATCTCTGGGACTGTGACGGTAGGGTTCCTGGTAACCACCCCCACTGCTCCCCCTCCTGTACGGATCCTGATACCCACTTCCTGGAACATCTCGGTAGTCGTCCTGATACCCTCTATCCATGGGTCTCTGGTTGTAGGGGGTGGGGTACACATTACTGAGAGGCTCTTGGTACTGGTTCCTGTACCCCCCTCCACTGCTGACAGGGAGATCTGGACTCTGTGTATGGGGGTAGGTCACCGAGGACTCAGCATACATCCCTCTAGTAGGGTCTACACCGGGTGACATATAGGAATCATAAGCTGGAGGAATCAAGGGGGAGTATGGTGTCCCTGGGGCCCCGGGGGTGGTAGGGGTGGTGGGTGAGGCAGCCCCTCCATAGGGGTATGTTGATGATGATGGTGTTGACCCTGTGTGTGTAGGAGTGGACAACTGACCAGCAGCTGACCCTCCTTCCCTGTATTTCTTCTTTAAGACCAGAACTTTCTCTCCATTCTGAAACACAGGAATGTGTCAAGATAATGATGATACTGATGATAAGTAAATAATAATGCTAATTATTATTATTATTATTTTTTTTTTTTTTTTATTAACACTTTTATCATTCAAACAACAATAACATTATAGATACCTAATTTATCAAATTTTGATAGTACGAGGTGTTCAGTATCTTTAACAACAAATACTGTATTTAGCACCTTAATCTTAGTTTAATTTTGTCAAATGATTCTATCAACAAATATCCAGACATGATAACAGGGTCAAATATAATATTAGCACATCTGCTAAGTTTCATCATTTGAAATACATTCCCTGCTACTATAATAAAACATACAGGATGTGCAAGTGTCATTATATGACTCATGCCACGTGCATGTTAACACTATCATGTTAGCACTGTGACAAGTTGATACTGCTAAATGATTCCCTTCCGGTCCCTCATTATTCTGTAACAATAGCTTTTATTTAACTTTTTTATTACTTTTTTTTTTCATGGTGGGGGTGGTATATGCATAACATTCTGAGATGAGAAAAAGAAAACCACCAAATATTAACAGGAACTACACACTTTTACACTCAATAATCTGATCTGAAATATGTAATGGCTTGTTGATTTGAATAATAAGGAGAAGTCTTATCAATTAATTAGTCTACCAGGGCCAGTGACATAGGAAAACGTATTTCTGAGCAATGTTTTAACTTTTTTCACTAAATTATCTATAGCTCTCTCCTTTTAGGTTTCAGACTGAAAGTCTTGATGTACTTTGACACTAGTAGTTGAATCAAATTAAATTCAGAAAATACGGCACCTGTTTCACAAAAATGCTACATATGGCTGGCATTTTGAGGCAACAGTTGCTAGAAAAAAGTGATGTACCTGGATCATAGCTGATCCAAATAATTCGGTCCATGAAGATTTCTCAAGCAAGAATATTCTGATGCATTTTATCCTAATCATGCACTTGCACCCTTTATCCAGAAGCTTTCTAAGTCCCTTAGACCCTTAAATAATTCAACTAAAGTATCATCCTGCAACACTCTAATTACTAACACCCAGGCCTGTAAGAAAATTGGGGGGGGGGGGGGGGGTTTCGGGGAAAAGGAGTGAGAAAAAAAAATTTTTGGCCAGAAAAA